TGTCAGCATGTAAGGTCGTCGAGTTGGTACATGCCTCTCTACGTTGTAAGAAGGAGCGATTCAGTGAGCTCGGGCATCAGGGCAAGACCTGGTCTATAATTCTAAGAAAAGAAGCCTAAGATAGCAGTATGTAACGGCCCATTTCTTTCCACTACGTCATGAATGCACCCTTTTGCCAGCTGATGCTGGGTTAGCACAAGCATGAAGAACATCTTGGCGGGCGGAACATTGGGTGAAACAGTGAGACATCTTTCAACTTGGAGAACTAGCCAATCACCTGGCAGTCGCTCCTTTTGATTTTTTTTTCTGCTCTTGCCGAGCTGGGATCTTCACACTGGGCAAGAGCTTATGAGTTTGGTGGAAAGAGAACGAGAACTGAAGGCTTGGTTGTGTTCTTGGCTTCCGCGCTTGTTTGATACAGATTGTTGATGTATGTAACGAGGGACGTAACGTGCAACCGTAATCCATGTGGATTTGTAAGTTACGCTTCCGCTGTTTCAAGATTTCCATACAGTGTGAAATTTACTCCAACTTCACCCTTCCTCTCTCCAACTGCAATTCTTAACGGAGAACGAAATTTTCCCAGGCCGCGAAAGATATCCCCCATTGATTCCGACCTCCGTTCTCTTTGTTACCGTCCACCACTCGCACTGCAGCCGCACTCCAGGGCAACACTGGCAGTTCCCGACGGAGCCGAACTGGGTTGGTCGCACAGCGTTGCTTTTTGCAAGGGAAATGCTTGCCGGCTTTGCTGCAAAAAGGACGAAGCGAACGTTTTCGAACCATTCTAGAAGAAAAGAAAAGGCACTTATCACAACTTGAACACCGAGCAATTGTCCGACATTGGACGTCCAAAAAGCTTTGCCACGGACATGCAGAACGGTACCAGGGACAACAGAAACGGCGGGGGAGCCCGACTCAACTGAACTCTATCGGGACGTACAAGTAAACGCTGAGATGGGATGGATGGATGATGGACGGGATGAGATGATTTTGTGGTGGCACCGATCAGAGACAAGCGGGTGGTTCCTGAAATCCCCTATTCTACATCCCTTTCTCAGGGGCAGTACATCTCAATGCCTTTTTGGGCGTGGGCCGCTTTCCGTCCCATATGGTGTAGCATAGTGGCATGATGGGACGGTGCCCATTGTTTTGGCTACATAGCAAAAGTAGCTGGAGAGCTCTTGCTATTCTTTTTTCTTCTAGCAGGTATGTAAGGCATCCGAGAAGTGATCGTATTCATCATAGCTGGTACTTGTTTGTAGCCAGTAAACAAAACAAGGAGATAGATACCCCGCTTCTAAGAGGTGACTCCTACTTCTCATAATTGTTTATCAAACAAGATCTTCGTCTTCACATGCATACCTTTGTTGTACGTGTACACTATGCACGTGTAGACGATCTTACGATTAAACCAGCAATTCGTCGGTTGGAAAAACGTGCTTGTAATCGACATCCAGATGATGTCTGATTCGTCCTTAGTGTTAACCGTTGAATGATCGCCCGGCCGGCGCCGGGCTCGTGCCCGGGGCCCCGAGCGCTCCCGCTCCAGTCGTGCCCGCCTGCCTGCCGTCTCCCGATGAGCACAACACTGGTGACAATTGGTATGGCAGGAACAAGAAACAAGTGGACCAAAGAAGTTTGCGGAACGTGTCAATATGCTGCAGTGCTTTCTAAATCGGTCTCGGTAAGGCAATTTGCTTTCGTGTCGGTGATACACTCGTAGGAATTCGCATGATCCATCACACCAATGGTGTCAGGTAGGTACCCGTGGGTTATACGGAGGAAAAAGTAAGGAGATGAGACAGGGGAGTTCGACCAAAAGGGGGCTGAAAAGGATGTTTTTTTTTTTTTTGGTTGGGTTCAAGGGATGGATCGTGAGTTGCCCTCGAGTGCAAAACGCTGACATCCATTGTGATAAAACAGATTCCACTTTGCAGTATTATCGATGCTCTCAAGAAGTGGTCTTCTTTGAGCGGAAAAAAATAAGAGATAAAATTTAAGAATCCGTCTCGAGGGCGCTCAGCGATAAAGAGAAGCTACCGCGGTGCTGATTTGCATCCGGATCCCGCACATCAGGCCATGTACTACGGGCGTGGGATACTGAGACGGGATCTTGGTTGTGACTCGGTTGAAATGCTCAGCAGCTCTCGCGGGGGTGACGGACTTGGACGGGAGGTTATTGCTATCTTGATCGCCGGAATGGTGCTCGCTCGATCCATACCACCTCCGGAAATGATGCCCGCCTGGCTAGCTTTTCGATTGAAGTGTGTATCGCCTTGCAGAGTCACAGTCCCTTTTAAACCTCCTCATTCGACAAAATCTAACAAACTCCATATCCTGAAGCCCAAGGGTCGAGTTGTAGTGAGCGTACTGAAGCTCTTGCTCATAATTTTTCGGACAGCGTATCCTTTCTGAGAGGCTGAGCCACTAACAAAAGCATCACTGTCAGCAGCTCCGATGAAAACTGAAAAATCTCGCGACGTACGGTAGGGGACCATGTGCTGATACGGAATACTTCACTGCGTACCAGCCGGAGCGAGTCCAAAGGGGAAAAAAACGCCATCAAATCAATGGCATCGGAGCCATCATATGCAGCTGCAAGCTGCATATCATTTTCGAGATGCTGCACGTACCTCAGCGGGCCCTCCCGCCCCCCTCACGGGCATCCATTCTGTCACCATTCGGAGGAGCGAGCGCTGTGCCTGCTAGTCTAGTGTGCCCCCATCCCAGTTTCCGAAATTGTAGGGAAGGCCATTGTAGCTAAAACAGCATTGAACCCTGTTACACGCCGACGCCGTCACGATGGTTGCATACCATCACCCGTAGTTCTGTGCTCAACCGTTCCCCTCGCTTAGCTTTTTCAGGCACCAGGTAGGCCCCAGGCCCCGTCCTCACAAAGTTGCACACGAGCGGACAATTTTTTCCAACCCCGTTGGGCTGAGGAGATCGCGAGTTTATGGTTGTTTGCTTTTGATGGACTTTCGCCGGAGCCTTCTGTAATCTGTGCCTGCAGGAAGAGATTGCAGCTGTTGTGTTCGAGCAGTAGTGGCTCTTGGCGTCTGGCGCGACTCGGCGGCTGGAGTGGTGAAGAAGAGAGGGACGAGGCAATCAAAGACGGGGAAGGAGGTGGTTGGCTAGAAAATTCATGATGGGTGCTGTAACTCGAATAGCGAGGATGCTTGTTCGAAGAGGAGGATGAGAGGAACGCCGGCATGGTTGAGAAAGTTGTCGCTGTTTTTTTTTTCTTCTTTTCGTCCGAAAGTTACATTGTATATACGGCGATAGAACGACACGAATCGCAAAAGTAATCCGTTTCCGGTAGGTAGCGAAGGTGTTGTCTACTCTTTCGAAAGCTCGCACAGTTTCGAAGTGATATCGCATTCGCAGCGGGCAGCGTCACATAGCGAACCCGTAACAACTCCAACTGTAACGACGGGATAGCCCGTCTCCCTCCCACAAAGTTGTTGTCAGTGGGTTGGGGGACAGTTGCTTTCTGCTGTGGGATGTAGGTGGCGGTAGACAAAGGTGAGAGAGCTGAACTGTGCACATAAGATATGATAGCTCTCACTCAAATGCCGAACAACATGGCACAGAGCGCGGTAGTAATTAACGAACGGGAAACCAAGCAAATGCGGAAAAGGGTAACATATCCTGCATCATAACAATGAGGCGATCTCGCCCTCGCACCTCTCGTGGCTTGCTCTGAGATGACCTGTAAGCATGGCTTGACGATGGAAGTTGATTTTGTCTCAGCGCATGCAATTTCGTTATGAAGAAGCAAATTTTGTGTCCAGAAAAAGAACTGACGCAGGATCGCCATATCTACCGAAGCACCTGCAACAGATGATGTGCTGGCTTTCGTCTAAATCTTCCACATGGCGATGTGATCTTAACCATGTTCGGATTCTGTTTCTTCTCTTTCCGACGTCTTGGTGGTACCCTTCTCGCCTCTGTAAGGTGTAGGTAAAGGCTCCGGTGGTTTCGTATGGCTGGTTTGGAGAAGCTTCCATCGCCAGGTCCTATGTGACAGTATAAAGCCAAGCATCACAGGCCGGACAAGGAGATCCGACGTTCAGGGAAAATCATTTCAAGGGAGTCGACGGGACATTGATCGCCTTCCCAACAATGACGCAACGGGTGGAGAACTTGACGTTCAGGGGCTTGAGCGTTTTCGACAAAAGCCCATACCCATTCATGAAAATTCCATAGCCAGCTTTCAGGTACTGGGTAAAAAAGGAGTCCGTATATTACGTCGTACTATACTGTGTATATCTAATCATGCGACGGTTCTCTCGAGCCGTCCCGTTGGCAGGAGGCAGCGTCTCTCGAACGATCCTGACCTTGAGCCTTGTGAACAAGGGATGGATTCGGCGTACTGTGTAACATCAGTAGTCATAGCACCAAATCCATTGCCAAAGGTGTACGCAGCCAGCAACTCAACGTCAACTCGGTATGCCACGGCGCTAAACTTTATCACGCCTGACGATGAAGCGGTGTGATGAAGACACGAAGGTAGAATATCACTCTGCCCGGCTCAGCGACGGGTAGATGCACTTCACCAGCCTGGCCTTGCCCGCTCTTATGTCTATAGTGTTTGATACAACCTGCGCATCTCAAGCGCCATTAGCTTGGGGAGAGGAGGGGTCCGGCTTGCTTGAAACGGTGCCTCCGACCTGGCTTTGAAGGTACCATTGACCGATATTGACTGGTATTAGCCCTGATGTTATTGGACTCGGTAAGACTGATACACAAAATCCAACCCGTGTGGCTCTTGCTCCTAGCGCCCTGGAGTGTAACGAGACGTTGGGGTTTTATGGCCTCGTGACACATACCTGACAGCTGCGGTAACCTAACAAGCCTGTGAAGTGCCAAAGGCGAGAGACAGGAGAAACGTTCCCATCTCTAGCCATACAGACGCCGAATCCATCTAACCAGCAAGACCGTTTTTTAGATGGCAGAGAAATAGCGGATATCCCGGTCTATGGTCTACGCCTTGTTTACTTCTCCTGTGAAGAGGGTTTTGACAGCAGATCGTCCAACTTGAAACGCGCGTGGTCGTCCAGCAATGGCTGATCCTCATGGTGATCAATCAAACGGTCTTGGTGAGATTCCAAGGGATCCAACCCTCCAGCGAGCGGAAGCGCAACCGAAAGTGCGTGACGCACAGTGACCGGCGAAATGTGCAGACATTTACTTGCTAGTAGGGAAAAGAGCGGGATTATCAGTCGATGTACGGTGTCTGTATCCGAGTCGGTCTCATCGCGGACAACGGCAGACGAGCGATGTGAGTGCGGCGCCACGGATCGTGGTCCGATAGCATAAGGTGTCGACATGCCGGCCGGCCGGCCGGCCGGGGTCTGCTTATTTGTTGAGCGCCGTGCTTGACGTCTCTGAGCTGGCATAAAACAGTGGCTACTGAATATTACAGGATGTCCGATAGTCGGTACCACTGATCGTACGCAGCTATCACTTAAATATGGCCTGAAGGCATCAAATTCCCCTGGCATGCTCATCGTATTGGGCGTCAGGTGCAAGAGAATCGCAGCATATGTCTTGGCATCTGGGTAAGTAATGGAACTATGGAATGGTTAGCACCCATGGCACGCCCCCATAACAGCTACATAGATGCTGTGTTTTAGCACTGTCATTTACTACTGCGTAGTAAGGAACTGACGTTGTGGTGCTCACCTAATCTTGCGTTCAATGATGGCCTCATGGGCCAACATCCTGGCGCTAAACACAAAGCCAGAGGCTGCCGTGACAAAATGTCGGTGAGTCGGAACTGTCCAATATGTGTAAAAGTATCGGGTAAGGTACGGATGAACCACCCTCAACCCTTGTATCGTATCGTGTATGTATGTACCCGACTTTCAACCCATTCGTCTGAAGATTGGGAGTCACCACAGGAAGCAAGCAGCAGTCGCCTTGACTTCTATGTTAGAAAGCAGCATATTCGATTCGACGTGCTATTGGTGTGCAACTCCTCTCATGACCCCCATGAGTGCTGCCAAAGCTGGTCGTATCCGAAGGAAGCTGAGCGCTGCTAAGAACGGCTGTTTGCTGATGAGGATTCGGCCCGGTAGGAGAGTGTTTGGCCCCCGTCATTCCATCTGAGACAGCGGATGAAAGCATTTGACGGATGTAAAATCACCAAAACCAAGACTCGGCGAGAAGCGAGTTGAGTTGGAGGCGGCATTATCCGTTCTCCGTTTCGTCTACTCGGCCAAAATTTACCGCATCTCTACATACCTTGCAGTGGTACACCTGATCTCAGGCGTCAAAACCCCCATTGGCGTGAAGACCCTTGGGGTTGTTCTGCTCTAGCTCAGCCGCATGTCATTGACATGTTACGGGCGGGCTTCAAGAGACTCGGGACCGGGTGCCCGGAATCAGAGAGTGGGAGGTAGATGGCGCCGCAGCTCCATGTTTGTCGACTCGCAAGAATGCCGCGCCTACAACCACATGGGCGAGCTCCAAATGATTGGTCCTCACCCATGAAACGTGCTGTTGAAGACCCTGATGCATCACATCCCGGGGGTACCATACTACCTCCACTCGAAACGCGCGATGGCCCAAGGAGCTTTCTCTCGCTTCAATTTCTTCCATGACTGCGGCGGCGGCGGCTCATCAGTGAGTGGCTTGCCGGGTTTGTTCAATGGTACAACGGTCAACAGGGGACTGTAGCTCCTCGGAAACCCATCTGCTTGGGCTTCCATGTGGGTAACGGAAGAGCGTTAAGAAATTCTTTTCTGTCACGAGGCAGAGACAAGATAAGCCCCCATCCGCGCCGCATGTAATTCCACACGGCTGGGAAATGCTAATGCTAAAAAGGAGGTCAGCTCGACTCGGCTTCATGGGATGAACGGCAGGATTCGTGGTGGGTAACCGAAGGTAATGTAGGCAATGAAAGGTACACAGGTCCCGCAAGGCAACTCCCTCGACGCCTGGTGATTGATCTGTTTGCGACGCGAAGTGATGTTTTGACGACATGAAGGTGCAGTGCTGAGGTGCTTGAGAGATCTTGATGATCACTAGCCGAAATCCTGGTTACAAGGGAAGTGTGGACGGGAGGGAGGAAAACTTGAAGGCCCGGTTGGCTGCGACTGCCCATGGTTAGCGACAATGAGCCGATTACACACGCTGCCTCTTTCCAACAAAGCCGTTTCAATGGTGATTTTCCGCCTGCCAAGAGACTTGTGTTTCAGGATTGCTGATTCTTGCCTTACTTGACCTTGGTAGACTTTGGTCATTTGGGGTAGGCAAACAGCAGGTTGAACTTGGAGCCTTGACCCCTCTCTTATGTCCATAAACGGCAGTAGCGATCTGCATGGGAAGAGGAACTTGAAGGCATTTCGTGTGAAGTTGAGAGTCGAAAAATGAATAAGGAAGGGGGGATCGTTGGACATACCGTATCCCTTGTCACCAGACTCGAACAGATTACTTTTCTTACATATCAGGCTTGGCCAAGAACGAAAGTACGTACCGGGGCCGTCAGTACGGAGTAAGGACGGAGAACAAAGAGACCGTCCGTTCGAACCACTTCCTCATTGGATGCCCTGATTCATGGTCAGTGACACGGCTCCAGCACGGGACTGGGAACAATCAATCAAGAGATTCCCATCCCATCTTGCGAAGCCGCCTCGGCTGTTCTCCTACCCAGTCTGTGTACTCTGCGAACCCCCATCAGGCTCGAGCTGAACAAGGTGCCGGGTGATGACAGTCGTCGAACCCGGCCCGGGACCGCATGGCCGGCACCAGTCCCGCGGCAAGGTTTATTATACGGACCAGGACTCTAGGTTACCGTCTTTGTCCTCACTCCCATTTCTGATTGGTCGCGGCGGCCTTCTCGACTGCACCCACCAACCAGCCTATCATCAATCACAGCCATACCTGCACCTCATTCGGATCCAAGGTCCTGGGGCCTCAGCACGTACCTTTGCCAACTTGAAAGCCATCTACGCTACCCTTTACTATGTGTAGTGCAGTCTACATACTGTATCTCGAAAGACTACAATAGTAGCTGAGTAGCCCGGACCCGTGGTCAGCCCTCGACAATCAGTTTGTGGTCAGGGCGTCAAACCGAAGTGAAAGAGATCGCCAAATGGGGTGATTCGTTGGTCGAGACGATTTTGGGGTTATTCTCTCATCCCAATTGCTGTCCATTGAAAAGTGCCAAAAGGAAAAGGGGGCTCCTGGATGATCTGTACCAAGCAAGCAGTCCTGACGGCGCATGTCTGACCTCACTGCGCTGAAGCGAGCAGGCCGAAAATGCAGCGGTACGTACCCCAGCGACCCCGTTCACAGGTCGCCTATCAGCGTTCATCCAAATTTGCGGTAGCCTGGCGATAGGGACCAGAGAAAGACTTGGACAACCCGGAACAGCTCATCTGATCGGCCCCGATTGTGAAATGTTCCGATGCATTTGGAGAGATGCTAGTGTGGTCTTGCTAGTCTTCCCCACGAGTCTCTGATGAACCTAAGCCAATGTAGATCATCCGAGACGACCCTGCCGTCCATCGAGGGTGTGCCATGGAAGGTTGGGAGGCTACTGTTGTAGCCCAATTCACACCCATACGCTCAGATGTGAGATATCTCCCTGCCCAACCCTCGCCCACGCGACGTGGACATCCATCCAGTCAGACTCGAACGTCAGAAGGAAAATGCGGAGGGGCCAGATAGTGGACATAGGTCAGAAAGGGGAAGGATGGAAAGGAGAAGGAAGTTGAAGCTCGACGCTACACTATTTCGGATATACGGATGCGCTAGGCAGGCGCAATGAGCCTGCCACGCCTGGGCACTCGTCGCAATTGGAAGAGTGATTCCTGGGCGTGCTTTCAGAATTTTCTTTGCTACAAAGATTGCTGCCCACAACTGCCGTATTCCGTCCAACTCGTGCGCGCTCGCGTGCAATAGGCTCATGGAAATCCCTTGCTCATTTGCCTCCTCTGCCAAGTTCCGCGGAACCTCGACGCTTTGACATGCAACCACTGGACTGGTACGCACCACTGCAGGTAAGTTGATGTGTATTTTACGGCTTACGCTAATACAGAGCGCAAATTTGTCCGTATGATTGCTGTAGTGTACGACGCTTCGTTACCTTACATCAGTGCTACGGTCTTACGGTTCAGTAATTTTAAATCCAGTCACTACTCACTGCTCACCCGAGCTCGGTGGCTCCTGCACTGTGCAGTCTGACACTTGAATCTGGGGCGCACCTTCTTGGTATGTACCCACCCTCAATAGTTCCGAGTCCCCATTGATGTGGATGTGGGATAGTGGAGGCGGCCCCCTCTGTCCCAAAAAGCTCCCCAGGATCAACGACCACTGCGGCAGACAGAAGCAGCACAGAGCAGGCATTTCTGAGCAAAAGAAGAAGCACCGATCGTTGCAGCCAACGGTACTTCGGCCACCCTCGCTCCCGCCCGCACCACAACCACCACCACGCCAATTAAGGTTTGCTCGACGAAACCTCACTTTTTGCGACATCACCTCAACTCGGGCCACCGAATCAAAAGTTTAGATTCCGAGTTCGATACGTACCTCCGTTACTGCTGCACAGTACGCAAAAATTTCAGCTGCTCAATGCGATTACAAGCACCGACACTGAACCCACCGCGACCCCAAATTGAAATTTTGCTTCCATCGGGTTTTCCACTTTGATCTCTTCCATTACAGACCAAAACCCCAGGGGCCCGGCGGGGAGGCCAAGGGCAGCTACACCACTACCGACTTGCAATACTACCTCGACGCGCTACATTTGTACGACCGAGCAATACATACACTCTAAGATACGCTTGTTATTCCGAACGATACACAATACGTTCACATCCACATAACTACCTATCCATACGCTACTTTACGACACACATCCACGTCTCTCAAACTGAACGCTTGTACCGGCGGCCACACACCGTATCCTAGCTGACTCTTGCGCGGCTGTCGACACCTCTCCCAGCTCCAACTTTTCGTCCGGCATCCAGCTCAGTCATCTCAAGATCCACAGCAACGGAACCCGGCTCATCAGTCGTCAGTCATCATTGGATTCATCCACTTTCTGTTTCTCGCTCTCAGAAGGAGAAACTCGACGCTGCTCCACCATCACTTGGTTACCACAACCATTGCCGCCGTCAACGATCCCGTCACCGGTCCCGTCACCGCCGACCTGTCGTTCTACTATCTCCCACCGTCTTCCCCGAGGCTCTCACCGATTTGCCAGCTTGATTTCTGCCTCTTCCTCCTGTTGCTATACTACATAGTATATACCGCTGCTATCTTTCTGGGCACATCCTGGCCCTACAAGCTGCTTGCCCAGCTCCAAGCTCACAACCACATCCAAAGAGGGAAGACGACATCAGGGTGCGGGCGGCTCAACCACCAAGCGCAGCGCGGATACCTGTTACGCTACCGAGGCTACATACCCAGGAACGCAGACGCCGGTTCGCGTAAATTAGGCCCTGGGCGAGCCAACAAGCAAGGAAGGTCGGAGGTCGGAGGTAGCAAAACGGGAGCTCGCCTCAACAGGAAACGAAGGGATCGCACTGCAGGACTTCATACCACACAACACCGTTAGCTACAGCACCCGACGGACCAATTCGAACCCAGCAGTCCTGGTACCCGTACTCACTGGACCGAACAGCTTCCACCCAACGTATCCAACGTCTCTTGGCCGTCTGGTGGATCACCGAGCTGTCCCCCAACTCTCCAATCCTGGACGGTTCCCAAATAG